AAGAGAAACCATCAACAGAGTGAAGAGACAACCCATGGTGTAGGAATTTTTTTACCAGCTATTCAGATAAAGGACTATTATCTAGAATATATAAAGAACTAAAAAAACCAGACTCTCCCAAATTTAAAGACCCAATTCAAAAACGGGCATCTGAAAAGATACTTCTCAGATGAAGAATTAGAAACAGTAAATAAATATATGCAAAAATGTTCAACATCATTGGTCATTCATGAAATACAAATTAAAACAACACTGAGATGGACTGAGGATTTAGCTCAGTGGCACCATGCCTGCCTTCCAAGTGCAAGGTCCTGAGTTAAATCCTCAGTACCAAAAAACAAATAAAAAAAACCCACTGAGATTCCATTTCACTCCAGAAAGAATGGCTGCTGTCAGGAAATCAACCAATAACAAATACTGGATGCTGTGGGGGAAAAAGAAACCCTTCTCCACTGTTGGTGGAAGGGTAGACTCTGCAACCACCACGGTAATCAGTGTTGAAATTCCTCAAGAAACTAACACTAGAGGTTCCATTTGACACAGCTATATCTCTTCTTGGTATCTTCCTGGAAGAATTAAAAGAATCATACCACAGTGATATATGCACACCGATGTTTATAGTGGGACGGTATGTAACAGCTAACTCTTGGAAACAGCTCAAATGACCATCAACTGATGAGCAGATAAAGATGTGGTTTTTTTATACAGTGGTGTACTACTCTTCCATAAAGAAGGATCAAGTTGAGACATTTCTAGCTAAGTAGATGCACCTTGAGACCATACTCTTAAGTGAAATAAACTGGACCCACAAGTTTAAATACTGCATTGTTTCCCTGGTGTGAGAAACAAAGTGGAAATAAGGACTGAAATGTATAATAAATGTTGGGAAATGGGAAGAAAGTGTTCAAAAGGGAAGGGAAACGAGAGGGAAGAGGGGAAAGGAAAAAAGGGACAAGGAAAATAATAGAAGAAAAAAATGGAAACAAGGCTTTTGCATATAAGGAGAAAAGAGAAGTTGGAGGGGGGAATGTGGAAAAAAGCAAGATATATCATGTACAGGTGCAAATTCCCGATGATGAATATTATTATGTATATCTAAAATGTACCAATAAGTGTTTTGCTAAAAAAAAAAAGAAATGCACAAATAGAGAAACACCTCTCTCTATATATATAGCTATATATCTATCTATATAGATATATAGATATAGATATAGATTAGTGGTTGGAGATGAAGGTGGCAAGAAGGAAATAAGTTATGACTAAAAAAAATTTTTTTGTACATTACTGGAGATTGAACCTGGAATCTCATGCATGCAAGGCAAATGCTGTACCACTGATCTACATCTCCAGCCTTTTTATTTTATTTCATTTTATTTTTTTGGTACTGGGGATTGAACTTGGGACCTTGCACTTGCAAGGCAGGTAGCAGAACTGCTGAGCAAAATCCCTGGCCTCTTCAGCCTTTTAAAAACTTTATGTGCCCCGGCTGGCATTAAATTTGTGATCCTCCTGCCTCAGTCTTGAAATAGCTGGGATTATAGTTGTGCATCAATGTGCTCAGGTGGTGTTTCCTTGATGGGTAGTAAAAATGTTCTAAAACTGACTATGGTGATAGATACACAACTTGATGAATAAACTAAATGCCACTGAAATGTGCATGCATGCATTCATTCATTCATTTATTGGTACTGGGGGTCGAACTGGGAACCTTGTGCTTGCAAGGCAGGCAGCAGAACCACTGAGCTAAATCCCCAGCCCATGAACTGTACATTTTAAATGAGTGAATTATACGTATGGTATATGAACTATATTTCAATAAAGTTGTTAAGACTGGAGTAGTGGTGCACTCCTGTAATCCCAACACTCAGGAAATTGAGGCAGAAGGATCACTATGAGTTCCAGGCCAGGACATAGCAAGACCCTGTCTCACAAAATGAAAAAACAAAACAACAACAAAAAAGATAAGAAATCAATGAAGCTGTTGAGATAAAGAAAAGGAGAGAGCCACGAAGAGGGGAGAGTACCCCAAAGATCCAGCAAACTAGGAAGAGCACAAATGAGAAAAACAGGAGAGAGAACAGAGGAAAAAAATGCTCACAAAGCCTGTGATTTAGCTCAGTGGCACTGCAGTGGCACTGTGCCTGCCACAAAAGCACAAGGTCCTCAGTTTGATCCCTGGTGCTGGGAGAAAACAACAACAGCAGCATGCTCCAATAGCTAAGTGTGGTGGCACATGCCTGTAATTCCAGCATTCAGGAGGCTGAGGCAGGAAGATTGCTACAAGTTCAAGAACAGTCTGAACTACATAGCTCAAGGCCAGCATGGACTGCATAGCAAGGCCCTGTCTCAAAAACAAAAACAAAAACAAGCTGGGTGTAGAGGCACACGCCTGTAATCCCAGCACTTGGGAGGCTGAGGCAGGAGGATCTCTGTGAGTTCGAGACCAGCCTGGGCTACATAGTGAGTTCCAGGGTGGTCTGAACTAGATAGTAAGACCCTGTCTCAAAAACAAAAACAAAAACAAAACAAAACAAAACAAAAAACCAGAAAAGAAACAAACAAAAATAGTAAAATATGTCATAAAAGCCAGCTGTGGAATAGAAAAAAGATGATATGAAAGTAGAAGGATACTATCACTAGACAAGAGGACATGAATAAGAGGGAGGGGTGGGATGGAGGGTGATGGGAGGAACTGTACAACCAAAATGTTACACATATATGTGAAAAAACAGCTGGATGTAGTGGTTCCCCATCTACTCCGTAGACAAAGACAGGTTGCTTGAGCCATTGAGTTTGAGATAGCTTGGGCAACATAGTGAGACCCATGTCTTCAAAAAAAGAAAAGAAA